CAAACTGTGACTGTCACAATGGAAGGAGCTGTGATAGCTTTGCTTTTTGTGTGTGCATGACATAGAAGGGGAAAATGGAGTTACTGCCAAAACAACAGCAAAAGCAAAACAAAACAAAGCCAACAAACAAAACAAAACCCAGGGCTAAATGACCTTTCCAAGAGATTTTGCTAGGATGGCTTGAAACTGGTGTTTAGGGATGAGGACAGGGTCACCCTTGATACTGAGAGGGAAATATATCTGAGACTTTTATGTATCTCAACAAATAATGGTACTTACAAAGATTATCTCAGTCCAATGAATGCCATCATACTTATCTTTTGACCTTAATAACTTCCTGCTATTCCAGTCTATCCCTATATATTTTTTTCTAGAATGATTGAAATGTAATTTTAGCTGGGTTTAATTCTAGTTCTGTTAGGTCTTTACAGAAGCTTGCCTGGTTTTTAATTCTTTCCTTCTTTATCGCCAGACAAAAGGAGAGGCAATATACCACTAGGATATAGAATAGTTTGTCATAAAAATGAAAGATTGAAACAGAGTGAGAATGTGAATCCCCATACCTTGTCTTCAGTGCTGTCAGTTGGCATAGGTGAGCAGTTTTAAAAGAGCCAAAATAATGGATCTTGCATCTTAGGGGCTAGACAGAAATTTCAGAATGTTCAACATTTAAGCACAGAAGAATCTGTAGTATTCTGAAAGAGTAGAACATTCTACAGCCTCCCTTGGTAATTCACACTAATGCTTTAACAACTTTCAGCATCAGGAAATTCTTCCGTATGAGCTACAGCCTAAATTCTTCATGCTGCTTACGTCTGTTTCTTCTTGTTCTGTCCTCAGTGGAGAGATTGAACAGCTGGTCACAGGCCCCTATGCGAGAGCCATTCACGTAATTGAAAACTGTTATTAAATCGCCCCTTCAGCAGTCACTCTTTCTTGCGTGTTTTCTCTCTCTCTCTCTCTCACTCTCTCTCTCTCTCTCTCTCTCTCTCTCACTCTCTCTCTCATTCTCAGAATCTGGGACGATTCCAGAGCTGATTAACATGTTTCTTTACTGATGACCTTCTCAGCTTTTAATATGTTCACGTGTACTAAGAATTTTAAGAGGCAGATATAATGTGCAGTATTTCTTTAATTAATTTGACCTTCTCATGAAGCATTTTGCTGGACGATTGATCTGCTGGACATACAGGGAAACACTGACTCAGAGATTTTAGTTGAGTAGGAACCCTATGTGAGCCTACAGTACAGAACAAAAGAAAGTAATCCAGTTACACTGTCCGGAGAAATAGAGGTACATTCTCAGCAATTATATTTGAAGAATAGTTTTCTAAATGACAATGGCAAACTAAGCCGTGTCATATGAAGAAGAAATAAAAAGAATAGGAATGAAGAGGCATAGACAGACAAGACAGCTCTGGTAAAATATTTAAAGAGCTGTTCAAAGACAAGAACTTCTGGGTTGCTGGTCAGATGGATAATAAAAATGACAATAACAATAGCAAACATGATTCTTGCTATGTCTCAGACACAGTTCCAATTGCCTTTCATTTGTTGACTCACGTAATCGTAAAATAACTCTATGAGGTAGGCACTATTAATATTTCCACTTTGTAGCAGAGACAAATTAAGACAGAGAGATAAAGTTATTTTCCTAAGGTCACACAGCCAGTGAGTGGTGAAGCTGAGATCTGAACTCCAGTGGTTTCACTCTGGAACTTCTACTCCTATATGCTGTGCTGATGGATTTCAGCTCAATGTGATGAAGCACTTTTGACAGGGTTATCTGGACATAGGTGTTCAAGATCACCTTCTAAGGATGTTTCCTAGCTCCCTCACATGGGTGGTGTAGTGGCTGTAAGCACACACTGGCATGGGTAAGAGTTTGGATTCAACGAATGCTGAGTTTGGACTCAAATGAAACTTGAAAGTCTTACAGCTCTGTGGTGCCATGCCAAAAGGATGAATTGACCTGCATGATCTTTTTCATCTTTAGATTCCATAATTCTTTATAAACGTTCTTTTCCCCACAAAGTACCTCTGCAATGGAACTCTACACAGAGAAAAGTGCTCAGCAACAACTTTTTAAAATTTAACTTTTAAGTTCAGGGGTACATGTCTAGGTTTCTTATGAGGTAAACTTGTGTCATGGGGGTTTGTTGTACAGATTATTTTGTCACCCAAGCCAAGTACCCATTAGTTATTTTCCTGATCCTCTCCCTCCTCCTACCCTCCATCCTCTGATAAGCCACAGTGTGTGTTTTTCCCCTCTGTCTGCCCATGTGTTCTCATCATTTAATTCCCACTTATAAGGGAAAACATATAATACTTGGTTTTCTGTTCCTGCATTAGTTTGCTAAGGATAATGGCCTCCAGCGCCATCCATGTTCCTGCAAAGAACATGTTCTCATTCTTTTTCTGGCTCCATAGTATTCCAGGGTGTACAGGTACCACATTTTCTTTATCCAGTCTACCACTGGTGGGCATTTAGGTTGATTCTAGGTCTTTGATAAACAGTAGCATTTGATCAGAAGTTTGAACTGATATGATTTTGCAGCTAGGAAATCCAAAGTTAAACAGTCTATTATAGTGTTGCTAAATTTAGAATTAGGGGTAATGACTGGAGTACTGTTGTGGTGATCGGTGTGATAAGCCAAATGACCTGTCAGTCTAAACCCTCTTGCCTTTCTATCTGAAATGTGGATATGTCCTTTATCAGCAAACCACATTACAAGAGAAGCAACTTGGGTTTGCAGCTTAAATACCCATTACTTGTGTGATACTAAGTATCCCCATGTCATATATTCAACTGAAATTGGCTGTGGAATAAGTAATGCTTCTTGGTTCTTGGCAAAAGCAAATGAAAATCATCTCTGGAGAAAGCACTTTTATTCTAGGCTCAAACTTTTATTTATCTCTAGAAAATATTTGTAAGGTCAATTTAGTACGTAGTAAAAAACATTTAACACACAAGAAATCAAGGTGGAAAAAGAAAGAAATCAAGGTGAATGAGAACCAGAAGAAATAGCAAACCGTAGAAGCAGACCTACAATAACATCATATTCCAGAATTATTAGATTATTTTTTAAAATTATGTTTATACAGTTAGAAAAAAAAAACAACATTGAAAAATATCTGCAGGGAACCACAAACTTGAGAAGTTACCTTAAAAATGACCAAGTAGTATTTCTAGATATCAAAAGTACAGTAATCAAAATTTAAACCTTTATGGGTTTACAGCAGACTGGCAAGAGAAATGGATACCCAGACAGTAAGGCAGAAGGAATTAGAAAGAATGAAGCAAATAAGGATATTTTAAAAAGATGTGGGGCAGACGGGGGAAACTAGGGAAGGCCTGTTCAGAGAAATATAGATTGAAGAAGTCTAACATTTATCTAACAGAGTTCTGAAAGTAGAATAGAGAGGGAATGGAGAAGAGGCACTATTTGTTGAGAGAATGAGAAGATTCCAGAGCTGATTAAAGACTCTAAATCCACATGTTTAAGGAGTCCAGTGAATCCTAAGCAGTCTAAATCAAATCCTAGAAACACAGCACAAGATAGGAAAAGGATAGATTATCTTTAAAGGAGCAACAGTCATCTTTACTATTGACTTCTCAACAGCAACAGAGATACATGAAAGTGGGGTAATATTTCAGTATTCAAAAACAAAATAAAAACAAGACCCAAAAACCTTTCCATCAAAAACTTTATACTTGGGCCAGGCACGGTGGCTCATGCCTATTATCCCAGCACTTTGGGAGGCCAAGGCAGGCAGATCATTTTAAGTCAGGAGTTCGAGACCTGCCTGGTCAACATGGTGAAACCCCATCTCTACTAAAAATACAAAAAGTAGCCGGGTGTGGTGATGTGTGCCCATAGTCCCAGCTACTTGGGAGGCTGAGGCATGAGAATTGCTTGAACCTAGGAGGCAGAGACTGCAGTGAGTCAAGATCGTGCCACTGCACTCCAGCCTGGACAATAGAGCTAGACTCATTCTCAAAAAAATATATATTTAATGAAGATAACTATCAGGAATATGGATTTTAAAAAAAAAGTATTTTCAGACAATCAAAGCTTGAGAAATGCACCACCAACAGCTAAAGGAAATTCTAAGGGACATATTTCAGGCAGAACTAATCCCAGATGGAAGATTGGAGATGAAAGAAAGCAATGAAGAGCAAAAAAGTAGTCAATATATAGGTCAATCTATCTAACAATATAAAAAATTAAAACAATCCTATAGGGTTGGAAAAAATAAGGTATAATTAAAATTCATGAATATAGTAACATATAAATCAAATGATGGTATTTTGAGATTGTTGAGATCATTGTCCTCTCTGGGATGAATGGTATTTCTTACATTTAGACTTTGAAAGAGAGAGAAATAGGCAGACAGAATCATCAGGGCATCATGAAAACAGCACTAAGCCAGGAGGTTTGGATTCTATTATCAACTCTGCTGCTAGTTGTATGGCCTTTGAAAAGCGACTTTTCTGATCTACAAAATCAGTTTGTCTATTAGATGAGGCTTGGGAACCAGATGAATTTTAAAGCCCCTCATTATGATTCTATGAGAAATAGATTATCTAGAAAAAAATCAATTGTCCCCCTCCTTTGAAATTTTATCAGTAAACACCTGCATTTCACTTCTGGCTAACTTTTATGTATCAGTTCAAAAATTAGAATTAAACATAGTCTCGCTCAGGTGTGTAGTTTGCTTTACCTTTCTCATTTGTTGGTTTTATTTTCTTTTGTTGTCATCTAGTAGCCACAAAGAGTAATGGCAGTTTACCAAAGCCTTAGGAGTAGATAGCGCTTTGGATATTAGGGAGCATTTGCAGAAACAAGCTGTGAAAAGCCAGCCTAGCTTTGCAACCATTGTTCTTCCTTTCTTTTTTGTTTAACTTATTAATTGAACTGATATACAACTCCTTTGCCATCTTGCCTTCTTTTCTTTCATCCTTTTGTCCTCCTTCTCTCTCCCTCCTGTCTTTGCAGGCTAATAATAAGCCAGAGATTGAAGCGGCCCTCTTCCTAGACTGGATGAGACTGGAACCCCAGTCCATGGTGTGGCTGCCCGTCCTGCACAGAGTGGCTGCTGCAGAAACTGCCAAGCATCAGGCCAAATGTAACATCTGCAAGGAGTGTCCAATCATTGGATTCAGGTATTAGGAACAACAACAGCAAAAAAAGTCATTTTTTTCTCATCATTTTTCACCTTTTTATGACTTGATCTTTTATCTCCTGTGCCAGTTGCTGTTAGTTCGTCCCTCTCCAAAGTGGGAGAGAAGGTGATTGGGCTGGAACATCGATCATTCCTGTCACCCTCCTGATGGCTAGGTTATTTTGGTGGATCTCACTTATTAGGCTGGTGTCCCTTTCCACCTTCACTCTTCAGCTCTTCAGAACCACATTTTTGGTTGAGCAGGACAAAGCGCGTGTCTTCACGGAGGTATTACAGATGAACTGTACCTCCTCCTTCCTGGAACCAAAACATTTTTACCATCTTTCCTTTTTCACGGTCTTTTCTGTTTATAGAAACTTCCCAAGCATCAGTTATAAAACTGAGAGATGATTCTATTCTGGGAGGAACCATAATAGTAGCTCAGTCTCTCATTCACTTTGCACCATTTTTTTTTCTCCCTTAAGTAACAAGAATTGTTTTCAGCATCTGAGAACTTACTTCTTTATCTGTGAATCTGATTACATTCTTTGTATATTATCCCAATGAACTTCTAAAGGAATAAAAAGTATGCAAGTAAATGGAAGATTCACAAAGCAGCTAAAAAACAACCAGTCCTTATATATTTATAAGTGAAAGACATAGGAAACATAGCAGGTTATTCTGATATTCTTAAAATATCATGGAAAACAAGGCTAACTAAATCTTTAGCCCTGTTGACCTGTTTGGGGAGACCGGATTTTTTTTAATGAATTAATCTCACTTAACAGTAATCCTAAATCCTAATTCTGAAACTGTGATGTCCTTAAATGTGTGAATCAACATGAAGGTTTCCATAGTGATGAATAAGCCACAAAGTTGTAAACTAGCTATATGGTCTATGCCTGTGCAGAATCCACTTAGCAGCTAAGTAAACACTCTTTTCCAGTTATGTGTGAACTGGTTTTGTTACTTTATTTTCTAATAACTACCTTGTACTATTGCATGCTTTTTATTCATAGTGCTTTTTAACTTTTGGTGTTTATCCTTGCATAGTCATGCTGTTTACAAAGAGGTTTTACAAAAACTTTTAGAGGTTTCTGAAGCCTAGATAGACAACAGTGAGTAGGCAGTGCTTGCAAGATACCTTCTTTCCTTCCCGGTTTCGTGGCAGGTAAAAATGATGCCATGGGGTGGGGAGTGGGGAAGGGAAGCCACAAGTGACTGCTTTAGATTTCTAAGCTATCTTTTCTCTGCTTCCTTAGCTAGTGGGCTTTTGTATACGGGGGAAATTTTTATAAACTAAAGAGTAATGCTTTGGAGGATCTGAAAGAGCACTTTCGCCTGCAATTCTTTTGCCCTTAGCAAATTACATTATTTTAGGACTCAGCACTTCTCATTCCTCCTTTCCCCTCTTGAAAGATGGTTGGGATCTAAAAAAGATAGCTTTCCTTCCCACTTCCCCATATGTGACATAAGAAATATGTTTATGTGAATTGGCTAACGTTCTTATCTGAGAAAGCAAAAGGCAGGAGGGTATGAAACAAAGAATATCACATTCTGATAATGGAGGAAATGTACCAACTGGTATTTACAAATTATAAATTCTTCCATCTAATCCAATTTTCATTTTCTCTTGGGGCTTCGGTTATCATTTGTAGGTAATGTGGTGAGAGATTTCTGAAGAGATAGAGATAAAAGAGGTCATTCGAGTAACTGTTTGGAGATGAATCATATCAGTCAATTAGAAAACATTATTAAAGTGAGACTTGTTTTAATTGCAAGTTCTTGTTCACATTTCTTTTGTCTTATGAAATTGCTTTATCTTGACAATTTTTTTGAAAATAATTGCTTCAGAAAACTTTTGTCCCCATGATGGGTGAGGGGCATGCACGGCATCAGTCTGTCTCTCCTGGAAGTTCTTTTAAATTTGAGTATTTGGTTTTCAAAAGACTGGAAATTTGCCGATACCTTCCTACTTAATCTCAAAGAGTTCCTAGTGGAGTTTAAATAAGAGCTGAGTTTTTCTTCCCTCCTTCCATATGTTTATAGGATAATCTTTCTGCCAAAATGTTTTGATACTGTAGGAGAGGCACCGGAGAAATCTGGAGGTAGGAAGTTAATCACTTACCTTGTGGGACTAATGAACACTGCATTCTGTTTCTCAAATTAGAGCATGGTAGAAGGTTTATTAAAGAGTGTTCTTTGGGAATTTGATTCGAAGAAATACATATGTGTTTGTTTTTGCTCTTTATCAGGTACAGGAGTCTAAAGCACTTTAATTATGACATCTGCCAAAGCTGCTTTTTTTCTGGTCGAGTTGCAAAAGGCCATAAAATGCACTATCCCATGGTGGAATATTGCACTCCGGTAAGTTAGACACCTGCCTGACTTGAGAGTTAGTTCACCTGGGATACATTTCAGTTTTGTACAGTACTGCAGATCATGTGTAATGCTGTGATTTGTCCCTTCCCCAGATGTTCCCCAGCTAAAGTGGCTCTCAACTGTAGGCTTCAGAATTTACCCTATCCCTGGTGCCTAGGGAAGTGCCTGGCACATATGGAACATGAGTTGGATGAATAAATAGGGTTTTCACTCTGTGTGCATGAATGTATCGAAGATGTTTTCACATTTATTTTGCACAGCCTTAGAGGCTGTATGGGGCGATCTTACGGCCATGAGGCATGTTGAATATGGGGTATGGTTCTAGGTTCCCCCAAATTCATAACCTACCACTTTTAATCAATGTTGCTTGTTCATTATCTGTCCTACATACTAACAACATTTTAAAAATCCATTTTATATGCTGACACTTACTAAATGGTAGGCATTTACCTTTTAAACAACCCTGAGTAAAATAAGTACTATAATTTTTATCCCCTCTATCCAGATGAGGACTCTGAGGTCCTGAGGTTAAATAATTTTCAAGGTTCTATAAGTAAGAGTTGAAGCCATCTCCTAAGACGTTGTTTTAGGAAAATGTTAAGTGGCCAATAGAACTGTGAAAAATCACTGGTGCAATGGCAAGGGCGTAGACTTGGTGGCCAGACAGACCTGAGTACAAATCTCCATAAGAATTAAAGACAGGCTCCTCTCAGGTTTGTTTTCTCTAAAATAAACCTGTCCCTGTTTACTGTAGAGCCACCCTTCGTGTTTCTCCTCTCTTTCTTTAATTCTTACATTCTCCTCTTTTCTAAACTTTACATGCTTGCTATTCAAGATATGGTCTGTTGACCAACAATCACATGTCTGTTGGCATTACCTGGGTCTTTATTAGAAATGCAAAACTGCCGGCCCCAACTCCTGATGCTCTAAATCAAAAACCGCATTTTAGCGAGATCTGCAGCTGGTTCCCATACACATCAAAGTATGAGAAACTCTGCTTTAGAGCATCTCTCTCTTCCATCATCAGAATGATCCTCCCAGATATTTGCCTTTCTCACCTTTATTCCTCTTATAGAGATGGTCAGTGATTGAGAATGTACCATGCCGTGAATAGACCAAAATTTAGTGGGTGAAGCATGCTATCATTATGTACTAAGTAGTTTTTAAAATACCATAAAGTGTGGTAAAATTTAACATCACCTTTTTGACCTTAAGACCTATAAACTACCACTTATTAAGTAGCCTAGTAAGCTTGTATGCTTCATTTATTTATCATAACAATGTGTTGAGGTGTTATTGCTCCCATTTTACTGATGATCAGAGCCTCTGAGAAGTAAATAACTCACCCAAGTTAGCACATGCCAGGCCTGGTTTCGGAGCCCCATTTGTCTGATTCCAAAGCCTTTGCTCACGACCACAACACTCTCCTTAATTACAAAACAAGTGTTATGGGGCAGAAGACTGGAGTGGTCATTAGTTTTGAAATCATACTGTCCTAAATCTGATCTCACCATGATCTCCCTTTTAGACTACATCAGGAGAAGATGTTCGAGACTTTGCCAAGGTACTAAAAAACAAATTTCGAACCAAAAGGTATTTTGCGAAGCATCCCCGAATGGGCTACCTGCCAGTGCAGACTGTCTTAGAGGGGGACAACATGGAAACGTGAGTAGTGGCAAAAGCAGAACAAACGCTTGTTTGATGTATATTTGAACTCCTCTCAGCTGAACACCCTCCTTCACTCCCAAATGCAAACAGTCTCTTCTATTTCTTTCTTTTTATTTACGTTAGCTGAAAAGAGAAAACTAAGCTGATGTCCAGTTGCCATTTCCCCACTTCACTTGACAATTTCTTTTTCCAAAAGTTAAACTTTATCTCACAGGGGAAAAAAAAAAACCCACAAAACAATACAGCCACTAATTACCTTACAAGCCTTATAAGAAATATGGGACTGTTTACAAATGAGGGATTCCAGTATTTCATTTTGATTTTCCTCTCTCACAAATCAGTAAATGTGTGTCTTTTTGTATCTCATTGTGTGGTCATATCTAGTCACTTGTTTCTACTCAAGAGAAAATATAATCACAGGAAAAAACTACTTCACAGTAAGTAGTAATGGTTCTCACGATCAAAGGGATGTCTTCAACTCTTTTAAACCTGCTCCTCTTTTTCGCCTTAACTCTGATGGCAGTCACACAACTGTTTGTTTTCCTTTTAATTCACTTTACACCTTGGTTTGGCTATTGCTTTCCATGGTTCATACTTAATTGGCTGGATTTTATTTATTTTGACCTTTCAGTAAATTTTTTTTGCAGCTGAGTTTGCGTGTGTCTCTCTTCACCACCTCATTTTTTGTTTTGCAGTCCCGTTACTCTGATCAACTTCTGGCCGGTAGATTCTGCGTGAGTACTTTTGCTGAAGGGTGCTGCTACCACCAACACATTCGCTCGCTTGATTTTCTTTTGTTCTGTTTGTTTGTTTGTTTGTTTTGTTTTGTTTTATGGACATATTAATTCCCTTTCCTTCATCTCAGTTTGTTTTATTCTTTTCTTGATGAGACTTTGAAAGTACTATCTACACAGATCAGGAGAATCAGAGTGGGTTTTTCGGTTCCTCCACCAGGTGAAATTCAAACCAGCAGAAATCCTGGCTTGAATTCAAATTATAATCAAAGAAGTTACTGGAGTTTTAGCTGTATTCCTGGGAGACATGTTTATATATTTCTTCATATAAAAGCAAGGAAGAACCTTCTGATTACGTCATAACATTCTTTAGCCATACTTCTTGAGATTCGATGCTTTTTAGAATCTTTAGGGTCTGTTATAAGTGAACTATTAAAAATCAGCAGAATTCGTTTTAAAGTATGATGTTGAGTTTGGCTGAATAATTTTAATGAGGTATGCGGACTGTTTATCGGGTTATGCCATGCTATTTGACTAATCATTATATACAAGGCTTTCCAAATTTTGAACTAAACTCACTTTGCTCTCCTCTCCAAACTAAATATTCAGCTCATAAATAATTATACCTTTGCTCTAGGAGGAAAGTATATTATAGTCTTTGTTGTTACTATTGGTGTGAATTAATAATACTAAGGTTAGATACCAGCAGATTATTTATCTCAGAGTTTATAATGTTAGAAAACTCTTTTTTGGGGCCTGTGATTTATATATTAGCAAACGAAGTGCCTGTTTTAAAACTATATTATGTAGGGTTGTTATAACAAACTTTTGGTATTTCAAAGTATGCTTTATTTAAATATTTATTGAAAATCAGACGGCTCTATTATGTATAAAGGGGAAATGACCAGTTCGGAAGATAAGCTTATGTAAGAATTCAATTTCTTTTTATTGAGTCTTTTTTATTGTTCCACTGTGTAATTTAATTTAAACTAGGTCCTTTTATAAAAACCCTGTAGTGATAAATGCAAATTATTAATTGAGGTTTATTTTCAGTCTTTATGGGCCTAAAGGAAGTGGAAGGCTTCCCTTTCTTTTTTAAAACTTCGTTATTGTGCCCCTTAATTTTGAGATATGGTAGCTATAAGTAGTATATTCTCTGATTTATTTAATCATCGTGCTTAAAGAACTTTGGGAGTTATTTAGATTCAGTTATGTCCTCTGCCTCTTGGAAATTGTTTTTTCTAACCCAGGTAGTCTGTTATAGAAGTTACAACCTTTCAAAAATAAGAAACTTTTAAAGAGTTGATACACTACAGTTTCAGCTTGATTGGATCGTGATAAGTGAATGGATTTACTCTATGTTGAAATAAGTTTAACCAAGTAAGGAATCCAAATGACAAATATGCTAAAGAACAGCTGTTATGAATACATAGATAAAAGTAGCACAAAATAATAAAGAGTAATTAATAGTTCCTTGAAAGACGAAAAGGAGCTACACATAAGCTAATGAGAAAAAAAAATTATGACAATCAGTTTAAAGTAACTTATTTTAAGTAGAAGATTTTGTCTTTCTTAAACGCTGAAATACTTTAAACTTAATAACATCTTTTATTTAAAAATCTTTTCTAACAACTAAAACACACCTCCCAATTTGTCTTTTTTATGAAGAGTTGGTTAGATTATTCAGAAATAGTGGCAAGTTTTAATTTTGAGGAAGAAAACAAACCTAGCAGATATTAATAAGAAAAATAACATGGAATTATCCTGGAGGCTAAGAATTAAAGCTCTGTATAAGTCTGTGTTTTCTTTAATAGCAGTAATTATATTTAAAGTATTTATTCATAGGATTATAAATACAATATAAAATATATTACAAAGCCATCCTATTCAGGCATAAGAGCCAGGTCCTAACGTGTTTTATTTTGCAAGAATTTTATCTAATGTTAACAAATCCTATGATGATTACAGTATTTAATCCATTTGATATGGATCACAGAATTTGAAAGTTTCCAGAGATACAGACTTTTTGGTTTTCCTTAGACTAAACTCTTATTTGCTTGTGTTTGTCATATTACTTTAAACTAAAGCTACCATAGGCCTTTATATTGTTTGTCGATAAGTGAGCCAGTCAAACAATATTCTTTGAGCGATTCTGCATTGAAACCTAAATGAATGTCAACTTTTACTTAATAGAGTTTTCATGAAAGATAAGGTGGTGGTGGGTGGGATAGAATTGATCAAGTGGGTCATTAACTCTAATAGTAAGTAATCCTTCTGGGTATATGGTTTTGTATTTAGGAAGTGGGAAGAGGGGAGCAGTATTATTACCTTCTTTTGGAAGTGTTTTAGAAGGCTTTGCACTTAGTTTTCTTTGTGGACTAAGTGGCTTTGTATTTTTACTAATTCTTGGTTTTTAAATGATTCATCTCTGACCAGTACTCCCTTTTGGCTCATTTTCTGGTTTAATAAGTGCCTCTTTTAGTGTATATTTTTAAAGATTTCTGGTTATTATAAGTTCTTGTGCTTATGCATGCTGTGATAGGCGCCACAGATATTAATAAGAAAAATAACATGGAATTATCCTGGAGGCTAAGAATTAAAGCTCTGTATAAGATTTTCTGTATAAAATGGTATTAAAGTGTTTTGGATTTATATGCCTCTTTTCTTGGTGTACTTATGCTCCAAGGTCTTAGGCTTTCTTTCTTCTATACACTTCCAGGGTAGCAACTGTTATAAGGGAAAACACTACTAATGTATTTTCCCTGATGGTAGGCTTTTTGCTTATTGAAAAATATGTAATTGAAAGACTGGTCTATTCCAAAAGATAGTTCTTTTAATACAAATAATCCAAGTATTAATTTATCTTGATCTGCAGTGAAGATTTCAAAACAAACCTTAGCATTTTTCTAATAATGGGCTATGCCAGGGTTCTAGAAGATTAACAGATTAACTCTCCAAAACTATAGTGAAGATTCACATGGAAATCTTTGGATCTGCTTATTAAATTGAGTAGTCATCCTTTTGTTTCCTCTTGACAATTTAAACGTCTTTATAACTCATTTCAATTTGATTATGATTACACTTGACCTAGATGACACTGGTTTCATAAATAAGACCTTGATCTCTCAGGGAAGAATTCCAGTTCCCTAGTTATTTGCTGTAGTGTGTTGTAATTATTTTACTGTAGTATATTAAGAAACAGGAATTTCTGGCACATTTTCTAATGCAAACTTAGCTACTGGTAACTACATCTTTTTCTTTTTTAATGTAAGAAGAAACAAATACATTCTCCTTAGTGTTTCAACCAAGTCCTTCAGTGCTACTTGGACATTGGGCTAAACCAGGGTCCTCTCTGAATTACATTATTGTTGACTTTTGGATTTATGCCTTTACCTAAGGGCTTTCTGTGTCAGCAGAGAAATGGAAGAGACCTTTTGTGCTATTCCAATTAAAACAAAAAGTACAAGCCTAAACTGGTTTTCAGAACAGATGGTTTTTTTCCTAAGGTTAATCCAAAAGATGCTATAAAAACTTCAAGGATAATTAATAGATCAGATATGAAAGGATGAAAAAATGTTAACCCTACCAGAATTCTAGCCTATGGAGATAAGAAAAGATAGGTGTTTATATACAAAAAGCATATAGACTATTCCTGCTGATGATCTCCTCTTATTTTCTCACCTGTGTTTTAGCACACAGTATCCCTAAGAAATATTTCAGATATCATGACATTCTATGAAATGTAGTCATTCTTTTTAAAAACCTCACAATATAATCCTGGGTCATTCTATTTTGTGCTAGAAATTAGTAGTATAGTCTTGCTGCTGACTTGGAAGATACATTTCTTCTTTACAAGATTGCATAGATCAAGACATCTTGATACATGGAGTCTTAAGAAGTCTTGTACTAGAGTAGCCTCTTTGAAGCTAAAATAATTGTAAGTATCTAGGCAAATGTACAGCTTTCATTCAATAAGAAGATAGCCTATAAATGGTGCAGGTGTAAACTATTTAAATTTTTAAACCACATAGTGCTAACACAATTTCAGAACTATAGGATATGAGAAATTAAAAAGTAGGAGGACAAAATGCTACCTAGAAACTGTCTCCCCCAACCTTTTCTATGATGGGAATTTTCCAGAGAAGCTTTTGGCCTCTCTTCATGGCTTTTAATAAAAGCAGAAGTATGAGAAATCATCTCACAAACCTGGATTTTAAAATACTTGATAATATTTAAGATATAGGAGCAGCTAAATGTATACATTATCCATAGAATTAGAATAGAAGCATTCTAGGCCATGTGTATAACATAACTGTGTGGTGGGGTTTTTTCTCCATTAATGGATGGTATCTGTGACTAATCACATTTTCTGCCTTATAGGCCTGCCTCGTCCCCTCAGCTTTCACACGATGATACTCATTCACGCATTGAACATTATGCTAGCAGGTATGAGACTAGTTGAATGCCAGGCAAATATTGATTGAAATAACTAACCAAGGAAAGCTAACCTATAATATTTTAAACAAATCTTTTCTTTTTTCCCCAAACTTGTCTGATTCCTACTAATCAACTTGCCCTCTAACGTGCATGCTGTTCCACTGCATGTTGTTTTTGGTCACCAACAAGAACATTAGTCCAGAATAATCTTCCCTAACCCTGGCTTTTAAACATTTCCGGTAGCCTTGCTATGTTTTTTTTATACTGAGCACATTTACTAAATTGGCTTACAAGTAGTCTAACCTCCTTAGAAAACTGCTAGACCAGACATTCATATATGAAAAAAATGATACTGTATTATGTAGAGAATATGAAAGCATCAACTTTCCATTTGTGTATTTATTTTACATGACATACTGTAAATAAGAGAATAATTAATTTTCCTAATCCTTGGACCTTTCTGTCTCACCTTCTTTGCGTTTGAGATCATTTTTATACCTAAAAACTGAATTACTAATTTTAAAATATCTTACGCTTGTTAAATCAATCCGTAAGAGTTTGGTTAACTTTTTTTTTAGTTGTAAACAAACATGCAAACAAAAAACCTGTATAACTGCCTGAGGTGAAGAAGATTTTAAAGGTAAAAATTGGTGGCAGAATGTTTCGAGAGCTTACTGTGCATCCATCCTTTGTCAATATTCTAACTGCTGGACATGTTTACCAATCGCAAAAAGCATTAGCTAGCTGTGTAAGTCTGTCATCAGCGGAAAGTAGTAATTGTCTTAAAAGACAAGGGGTAGTGTAAGGTAGGGAGTGCACTTATTGTTAGGGAAGCTTTTCTTCTGAAAACAAAGACCTGTTCTCAGTGAAAGCAAGATCGATCTGTAGGGGGAAAACAGTGAAATACAACTTTCCTTAGAATTTATATCATAAATGTAGTGCTACTAACTAGCTGTGGTCTACCACACACTGCCTCAAATGGTTAAGCCAACACACACATCCTTTAATTTGAAGGATTCCTTTCTCTTCTTGCCATGATTTATCCTTTAGTTTTCAGGAATGTTCGATTAGGTCTTGATTAGATTATAAGAAGTCACATAAGTTTTAATGAGCTTTTACGTTTTTTATCAGGCTAGCAGAAATGGAAAACAGCAATGGATCTTATCTAAATGATAGCATCTCTCCTAATGAGAGCATGTAAGTATCCCATCTCTTTTTACAAAATGTTCCTGACGATGAAATTGCTTTGAGGGATTTAGAGGTAGGATAGCACAGGATATAGGAATTAGCATCATATTCATTTGATCTTTTAAGGAGCCATTCATTTACTTTTTTCCTTTAATTCTTAATGCCCTGGCATGGAATGAGCTCATCCAAATTCTGGCATTATTAGCATTCAGAGTAGCAAAAATAGTTTGCCTTATTCTTATTTAAACTTATTTCATACCATATGATTACAAATTGCAGAGTCCCAAGTACCTATAGTAATGCTTAATCTTTGACCAAATCTGCCAGATATTTAAAGGGATAGGATATTAATTTTAAAGTGATGGCTAAGCATTATTTTCTCCACTCATGGGGAGTGGAAACGTGATCTTGGTATAGCATAGCTATTCACATATGGTAGGTTAGTTAGGCGTTTTCCTTCAGAAATCCAAAGAAGTCGATTTTTGTGATTTAGCATCTTCACAAGATAAACAGAGTGAGGCAATCTTATGAAAGGTTTCCAGAGGAGAAGTAAAAATTCAAGTCACAGTTCGTTAGCAGGATGATAAGCCAACCCTATTAAACTTTAAGGACAGAGATAGAGTGGTGCTAAAAGCAACAGGGAACACAGCTATGGCAGGGAAACTGAGGCTTCATTGTAGAGTAAGGGCAGTGTTCACAATACAGGGCATAAGGGAACATTGCCGTGAACCAAGTAAATGCTGACCAGGGCTTGAGGTACAGAGAGCAGGCATTGAAGCAAATATGAAGGAAAAAAATAAGGATCTGCCAACTGAATAAATAACATAAAGAGAAGAAATCTAGTCAAAGTATTATGATGCCTTTTTAGTTTGATAAAGTATGGGTATCTCACCCATCTTGGAGAATATAGACAAAGGGAAGAATGATAAATTTATCATATGTAGTTGGTGTGGTAGCACAAAGTCATGCTCAGATGAGAAAAGAACCTTCATAAGGATTAGGCCAAAAGAAATAGTATCAAAGTGGCATATATGTAACTAGTTATTGAAGACATGAGAAAAAACAATCTAATCTGGTACATAAACGATCAAGCTAATAATAAAGAATCAAGTCAACCCTCAGTCATTTGTATATGACTTAGTTACTTCAAACAAACAAACAAACAAGCCTTTCCCCAACCATAACTGTGATGCCTTATCTTTCTTAGCTATGGGAAAAAGTATTAATGGTATTAATATATAAGATACTTCGACAGTAAAATATGTGGCCAAAGAATCAACTAAATGTAAATAGCTTGCGCTTCTTTGGCTCACTGATTTTGATATTAGAAGCTCTAGCACATTCAAATTAATTCAAGTTGTATCTGTGTAACAGTGGCTGTCATTCATTGACTGCCTAAGAGAACAGGAAGAAAAGTGTAGTTACAACTCTAGGTTATAATTAAACATGGCAAGTTCTAGCAATAAAACTTCAGAATTTGGAATGAGTGTGATAAATTAGGTGGTAAAGCTGCTTTTGTTTTATTTTAAACTAAGCTTTAGCTTATTCTGAGGACATAAAATCTATTTTGATTCAATGTTGGATGGCAAAAAATCATGGCATTTTAGGGGCACATTTGGGGAAGTGGTTTGGTGGATTGGTTGACCTCACTTAAATGTGTTTTTAATACCCAATAATTATTTTTAGTCAGCTTTTCACATCTAAACCAGTTAACTGGCTTGATAGACAAAAATAATTCAAATGAGGAGGACTTTTTCCTAAATTTCAGATTTTTTTTTCAACTGAAAATTAAGTGGGTATGGAGAGGAGAATATTAGTGTATCATCTTAATGATATCTAACCAGAAACAAAGAGCTTTAGCCTGTCATTATGGACAGAATGAAATTCTTATAACTTGGAGGTAAACAGGCCTTTCAGGGGCTTGGAGCAATGCATTCAGAAAAAAGTTTGTCCTGTGTATTAGAGAGCTCCTAGTTTCCAGGAGAGATTGCAGCTGCCTCCCCAAATATAAGCCTTTTTGCCTCCTTTTCCCCCAAGGTTAGTCCTTAAAACCATTATGTATAAATTTTAAAATAAATAAAACTTAAATTTGAAAAAACTCTGCCCTGAGGAATGAGATGTTCAGTCTTCTTTTAATCAGTCACCTTAATGGCTTTTTTCCCCTCAATTTTTGTTTATCTGTCTAAACAATAACTGAATGAAACAATCATTTATCTCCAGTTTAATTGTTGTTGTCATTCTGCCTCAATGACTCATATAAGTTAAAACTGACTTACTGAAGCAATATTTTTTGGTTACATTGCCTTCCACTTAAGAAAATATTTCCTCTGTTACTTTTAGAGCTGCAAGGTATTTTTTCCTACTCAGTACAACAATAGCGTGGGTTAGTGAACAGATTATCTTGACAGGCTTGGTGGCCAAAGCATTATACAGCGATTGTTATGTCTTTTAATATTTTTTAGCTATTGACTAACATCGATGTAGAGTCCCAGTATTTCTGTAATTCTGCCTTTCATTTATCCATGTAAATAGGCCAATCAATTTCATTTGAAAATTTGAGCAAGAAAACACTTTGAATTGTTACCAATAGAATGGTAGATCACAACCTCAACAATATCAAAAGGTCTTTAGAAGCAGGAAAAAAGGTCTAATTAATTGTTAAGAGCAAATAAATGTTTCTATTTTCAAATACACTCCTGAGTCCCTAACCCCCAAAGCAAAATAAGGGGGGGAAAAAACCAAAACCTTTGATTTTATTTTCCAGAGATGATGAACATTTGTTAATCCAGCATTACTGCCAAAGTTTGAACCAGGACTCCCCCCTGAGCCAGCCTCGTAGTCCTGCCCAGATCTTGATTTCCTTAGAGAGTGAGGAAAGAGGGGAGCTAGAGAGAATCCTAGCAGATCTTGAGGAAGAAAACAGGTGAGTTTTCTTTCTAGCTTTGTCATTGGTATGCAGAGTGCATACACTTGCACACATAGAAAAGTGCCAGGAATCTTCACTTAGAGTCATTTTATGTCTAATTGTTTTCTAAAATAATCTGTTTAGCTCCATTTGCAGATTCTCTTTTTTTTTTTTTTGTTATCTGAAAGAAGACAATGAATGCAATAGTATGATGAAGAACTCATATTTTAGGTGTGAAGGAACTAATGCTGATGGTGGTATTTGACTTGCTGCATGTGCCTCCGAGGCTTTGATTTTATATTTGAGAATAGAATTTAAGAAAACAGTAGGTTATTTAATTTTATGATTATATGATTTTTTACATGTGTTTGGCCGTATAATTCTACCTCAAACATTTAAGAAAGTAGGACTATTGGCTTGGTCATATTGGGAAACCAATTGTTTCGTCTTATTTTTCATCATCAAACGCAGAAATTATTATTTATGTTCACCATCATAGCAGATTAGTGAGACAATTCCAATTGTCAGCCATCACCTGTAAAAGACATTCATAGAAAAATAGCAGAAATTGTAGAAGAGGAAAAAGGCTAAAGAACTCTCACAATGACTGCAGGGAGGACAAAGATGTAAAACTCTGGGGTATTGTATGGTGTCAGGATAATGCAAATCATTGGACTTTTAGTTTTGTATTACATTTATTATGTCACAGGTCCCTGGTTTAAAAAGTCTTCTCACATGATCACTTCTAACTCACAATGTGCCTTCTTCAGACAAGTGCCACCAAGCAAGGATTTAAAGTAGTTGTTGCTCAGATTTGTGGGTCTTAAGTACTTTCATCTCTTTGGTTGAGCCCAAGGCACCAAGAGCTCTTAACATAGGCAACACAGTGTGTCTGAGGTCAGTGCCCTCGGGAGTATGCCACTTCAGGATGAAAAAGCAAACAGCCATTCATCCATTGCTTCCTGCTGCCACTGCCCGCCTTCTAGCTCTTAACACCTCTGACCTATGGCCATAGCTCCTTATCTGGTTGACTTCCCTTTAGTCTCTTCCCCACCCTTCCAATAAATCCTCCATACTGACTCTACTTGTACATCTTGCCAGAACCAAGACCCATCATGGCATTCCCCCTTTCACTGGATTTCTGCATGTAGAAAAAAATCAAGCTTTTTAGCGGGGCATTCAAACCCTTCCACAATATTCTCTTGACCTGATTTTTGGTGCCATCTTCTTTTGTTCTCCCTGTATTCTGGTCATGCTGTTGTAGCTAGTATTTCTGAATACATCCTGCTCTCATCTACTTTTGGGGTCAAGCTCAAGCTTGAGTCTCAGCCTAACTGCTAACCTCTAACCCACCACTGCCATATCTGACAAAGGAATCCCACCTATCCTCTGTCACATTGCTCAAAATAACTTTCCCCATGGAGCCCTGCTAGATCCCTGCAGTTGGAAGAAATCTGTCTTTTGCCTCTATTCCCAGAACACTTTGGACCTTTCTCAGAAAATTCCTTGACAGTTTGCCTTTTTGTCAGTTATTACCAGTGCCTCTCTTTAATGAGCTAGTGTGTGTCTTTGGGGCATGGACCGTATCTTAATCATCCTCATATCCTCCATAGTACTTAGCATGGTTTAAATACTTAATGGATACTCAGGAAATGTTTGGTAAAAACCTGAAAATACTGCAAGAACATCACATGAGTACCATCCAGGAGATAATATTGAACTTTTTTTGTTGCTGTTGTTTTAATGATAGCTTTATTTTTGGCCTTACTTTTAAGATCATTTGTCAATGAAGACCATGGTAGAGAAAACATTTCTTTCCACTTTATTGAGAATAATCAGTAATATCCATTTATGTTAAATCTGTAATTATTGTAGGGGTCAAAGTCAAATTGGAATAAAAAGTTGGAACTGACACTGTAAACAGAATTTGATGTTACCAAGGAGTAAATATGTTTTTGAAGTATATGATTGTGTAATATATCTTTTGAGCTCACTGGTCAAGAGCCCTGCCTTGTTTGTGGTTAGCATAGTCTCTCTCCATACCATTGCACTTGGGTCAAAGAATGTTGGTAAAGAGTACTGATAACTATCATTTATATATCATTTTATTTTGAGCGCACTTTTACGTATTTTAGGTCATTTAATCTTCTTACAAACTCTATAGAGAAGAGACTGTCACCTTTCGGTGAATGAGACACAAGTTCAGAGAGGTTCACATAGCCTGCCCCAGATTTCCCAGTCAGCCAGTGGTAGAACTAAATTGAAATCCAGACTTTTCTGACTCTAAATAGGCAACTCTACCTTCAACCAGATAATAAAGAAGAGTTAAGTCTCTGTGAATGTCATTTACATAGAATTGAGGCATATTCCCCAGAATGTTCCTTAACTTAAGGGACTATCTGTGAGGACTAAGTGTCCCTGAATAAACCTGTTCATCTACTTGTAGGGCAGTGATAACCACTTTACCTTGGAAGATATCCAAGACCATTCTCCAAGAATGGGATGGTTTGTTCTCTAAAAAAACAAAAAACATAACACCAGGGCTACTTAGAGCTCCAAAATGAGGACTCTGGGGTTGACGCAAATCTTTCTGTAAGTTACCTTGACCTTCACAAAATGATCAGGATGAGCTTCCTTCATTTTCCCTTCATTTTGTCCTATTTGACCTCCTACCAAATTCTAAAGAAATGTCTCCACAGAGTTCCCTTCCTGAAAACAGCCCGTGCGGTTTTCTTTGCTTTGCCCAGTCCTGTCTTCTTGCAGTTCTGCGCAAGGAGCTTCAAAGCCCTAGATTTGCCCTCGCTACCCTTGAATTCAATGTTGCTTAAGGAGCCTTTAATTTGCCATTTCCTATTCTTCCTGAGAAAACCCAGGAAGTCTTTAGATGCCCTCTCTGTGCACAGCTAGCTGGCTGTGTCCCAGGTCAGCACTGGGCTATGCAATCTGACAAATACGAGCATACTTGTAGAGAAAATAAGAAAGGATATTTAAAATTGAGATTGTCCGAAGTCCTTTGGATGCATACTTATTGATCTGTTAATATATATATTTTGCGTTCCTTTAGCTGTGATTTATCTCCAAATAACAGTTAACAAAAGAGAGAGGCCTGGAGAGCACCATTCCTGACTATTTATTTATTTAATTCCATTAATTGTTCTTATTCATGACACCTCCCTGCAACCCCCTAGAAAAACGGAGGATGGCTGTTTGAGAAGTGTCTCAGAGGTATCTTATCTCTGTCTTTAGAATTCCATTTCTCCTGGTTGTTGCACATAGTATTCAATAAATATTTGTTGAATGCATTAATGAATACATGAATTGAAATGAAGCTGAATTTATTTTAATTGTAGCATACATGCATGCACTTTTGACTAAAATTCTTTTACAAACCTAATCTCGTAGAGAAAAGCCTTTCAAAAGCTTTTTTCCTGCTTGCTTTTCAAAATACTCCCCTTTTTCAAACTGCCTTGATTAGCACCAGGCATGGCTTTGTCATAAATTTAGAATGTTAAGAACCCATTTTCCAAATCCTAGGCACTATATGTATCCCACATTGGTGTTCTCTGATTCTTGGTTTATGCCACAAAGATAAGGCTAAAGCTCTGAGTAAAAGCTAAATCTGACTGAGTTTTTCCCATAGTGCCTCCCATAAGTTTGGATGACTAATGGCGTTAGTGAGATATCCAGTGTATAATATTTCACTTCTGCATCATATTTCTCCTTCATTACCACATATAATTCAGATTCATTTTTATTTCATAAAGAACCATTAGAATGTTGGGTTTTTGCCCCATTGTGTGTCCTTAGCATTGCAAACTCAAGGTTTACTTTTTTGTCTTGCATTGATTAAAGCCTTGAGTCTCCTGACTTAAGTCTGTAGTGTTCAAATACAGAGATGTATTTTTCTCTGCACTGTCTAAATAAACCAAGACTTGCTCTGAAATTCAAGGTATGATCCTAGCAATGAAAAGGTAGCCTTTCTGAGAGACAAAGACTCACTGTCATTCTACTACCTGCATAGCAAATTGATTAGATTGTTCTCAAGTTGAAAAGGCAGCTAAATAAGTCTAAAGTTAAAGTTGTTAGTAGATGTTATATAACAGGAGGGAACTCTGTAGATTCTTAATACCTATTCAGGACCTTTCATGTGTCTTGCTGGGCAGTAAGACCTTATGAAGCCAAAATTTGAGTTTTCTCTTGTTCCTTTAAATTCCTCCAGTGATTGTGCAATATTATTATTGTTACAGTCAAAGAAGTTCTAGATCAGTTACTGATACCACTGAATTAAAGTAGCTGGAAATCATGATCCTGTTGCTTTACTTTGTAATTGACCTGATAACTTTGGACCTAGTCTAGTAGTTATCAATCTTCATAGCTACGGGATCTCTTTATTCAATGTTCTTTCATTAGGTCTTTGTGTAAGTCTCCAATGATGGTGAAAAAATAGCCAAAATGAAGGGAATCTGAAGAGGTTAGAATGGGCATTCCTATGGAATATAAACAAAGGTGTCAGAGTGAGGAATGGCAGAGTTTATTTGAGGGAAACTGCAGTTGTATTACCTTTCTTAAGAAGGCAAAGAATGAGAGGAGATGAGGCTGGCCAGGTCAGCAAGGGCAGGTCGGGAAGGGTGTGGCACCCACTGCGGAGTTGCTGCCTCCATGCCTAGTCTAGGGAGCCACTCAAGGGTGTGAGCCAGGAGTGAGGCTGTGATATTGACATGAATATACACCACACGGGCAGCTGTGTGGAGGGTAACTTTGAAAAGAGCGATGGTGGAACAAGGAAATCAAGTTGGGAGGAGTTACGTGGGAACCCAAGAAAGAGATGATTAGAGCCTTAAGTAAGGTGATAGAAATGAAGTAGACGGGCTGATCTGAGTGATATTTCAGGGGAGGGTAGACCTATTTGATTTGGTAGTTCTGTGGGACTAGGGTAGGAAGGAATGATTCCCAGGGCTGGTGACTACAAAACAAGATGATAGTAGTTGTTTGCAGCTGGGACTGATAATTCAGGAGGA